TGGGCACTGCTCTGCTTGGTCCCTCCCCAAATCCCCCAGTCCTGCAGCCCAACACTCTCCTGCTTGTGTCACAGGGCTGTGACCCGCTGGAGTGTCACTGAAATGGGGACGTGTGGTGATCTGCTGGTGACTGGTGTCACCCCAGGGATGCCAATGGTGGGGCCTGGCCTGCAGGTGCCTCTGAGGGGCCCCAGCTTTCCCAACCCCCAGTCCTGCACCCTGGCACCCTCCTGCCTGTGCCAGGGGGGCTGTGACCCCCTGGGGGTCAGTGGAGCAGGGGTACACACAGTGACAGCCTCCATCCATCCCAAAGGACACCTGTGGAGGGGACTGCTTCACCCAGTCCCTGTGGGACACCCCGGGAGGAGTGGGGTGGTGACAGCCCACACTCACCCCTTATGCAAGGGCTTGGGGACAGCTTGTGCTGGGGACACACAGAGTATGGAAGCTGGCCTGGGGACAGTCCCCTGCCAGGTGACCGCTGATCCTGCCTGCACGTGGGGCAGGGAGGGGGCACAGGGTGACCTGGCAATGTCCCAGTCCCCTGGCAATGTCCCAGTCCTGGCTGGCATGTTTTTGGGGGTACAAGGAAGGGACAAACCTCCAGGCTTGAGGATTTTGGGAGGATCAGGGACCCCTTCACCAACCGTCCCTCTTGTCCCCGCAGTTCCGGGAGAAGCTGCAGGACGTGCTGCCCTCCCTACCCTCCCAGGACGACTATTTCCTCCTGAAATGGCTCCGAGGTAACCCCGAAGTGGGACAGCGCTGGCGGGGGAGCCCCGTGGGGCTGGCGGGGGGCTGAGCTCTCTGCTCTCTTGCAGCGCGCTCCTTCGACCTGCCCAAGGCAGAGGCGATGCTCCGCAAGGTGAGAGCAGCACCCTGCTTTTGGGGGCACCCTGCTGTGCTGGGACATACCTGCTGTGGGACCCCACGCCCTGGGCCACCAGCCCCAGCAAGGGGGACCCACCCATGGGCTTCACCCTGGCCCAAATCTCACCCTGGCCCACTCTGCTCCTGCTGCAGCACGTCGAGGTCCGCAAGCACATGGATGCTGACAACATCATCGCCTGGGAGCCACCTGAGGTGAGTGTCCCCGGCCTCGCAGGGGTGGCCCTGGAGGGGACCGTCCCCCTGAGCGCCCTGGGGTGTGCGTGAGGTGCCCTGAAGCCCCGTGCTCCCGCAGGTGATTCGGAAGTACATGTCCGGCGGGCTGTGCGGCTACGACCGGGAGGGCAGCCCGGTGCGGTACGAGATCATCGGGCCGCTGGACGCCAAGGGGCTGCTCTTCTCCGTCTCCAAGCAGGACCTCATCAAGAACAAGTTCCGGGACTGCGAACTGCTCCGGCAAGAGTGTGACCAGCAGAGTCAAAAGGTGGGAACCTGCCCACACTCTGCTGGCCACAACCGGCCTGTGGGACCATGTCCCTGCCAGCTCTGTGTGTCCACATCTGCTCTGCCCCTACCAGCCATCATCTTCCCCAGCCCCATAAGTCCCTGTCCTGTCCCTTTCCCTCTGTCCATGCTCCTGCCAGCCCCGTAAGTCCATGTCCATTGCCATAACTCAAAGTCCTCCCCAGCCCTCTCTGGTCCATCCCTACCAGATAATGTCCTTGACAGCCCTGTATATCTTAGAGGTCCCTGTCCTGTTCATTTCCCTCTATCCGTGTCCATTCCCACAACTCAAAGTCCTCCCCAGCCCATCTCTGGTCCATTCCTACCAGATAATGTCCTTGACAGCCCTATATCTCTTATAGGTCCATGTCCTCTCCGTCCCCCTCAGCCTGTGTCCCTGCCAGCCCATGTCCTGTCCATCCCCACCACCCAACGTCCTCCCCAGCCCCATATGTCCATCTCTGGTCCATCTCTCCCAGCCAATGTCCTCACTCACCAGCCCTACAGGTCCACATCCAATTCATCTCCCTTAGCCCCACAAGTCCATGTCCTGTCCACCCCACCATGGACCATGTCCCTCCCAACCCTGTATGTCCATCTCTGGTTCATCCTCTCACTCCACAACTCCACGTCCTGCCCATCCCCACCAGTCCATGTTCCCGCTGTCCCTCAGCCCGTGGCCCTGTCCCAGCTCCCATGGTGCCCCTTCTCCCCACACCAACACTTAGGAGGAGGCTCTGGCTGGCATGACCAGCCTCTTGGGGCCACCCCATCCCAGGTCCCTGTCCTGTTCATTTCCCTCTATCTGTGTCCATTCCCACAACTCAAAGTCCTCCCCAGCCCATCTCTGCTCCATTCCTACCAGATAATGTCCTTGACAGCCCTATATCTCTTATAGGTCCATGTCCTCTCCGTCCCCCTCAGCCTGTGTCCCTGCCAGCCCATGTCCTGTCCATCCCCACCACCCAACGTCCTCCCCAGCCCCATATGTCCATCTCTGGTCCATCTCTCCCAGCCAATGTCCTCACTCACCAGCCCTACAGGTCCACATCCAATTCATCTCCCTCAGCCCCACAAGTCCATGTCCTGTCCACCCCACCACGGACCATGTCCCTGCCAACCCCGTATGTCCATCTCTGGTTCATCCTCTCACCCCACAACTCCACGTCCTGCCCATCCCCACCAGTCCATGTTCCCGCTGTCCCTCAGCCCGTGGCCCTGTCCCAGCTCCCATGGTGCCCCTTCTCCCCACACCAACACTTAGGAGGAGGCTCTGGCTGGCATGACCAGCCTGTTGGGGCCACCCCATCCCTGGACCTCCCTGTGGGTCCTGCCTGATCCCCCCCATCCTCCCGTCCCAGCTGGGCAAGAAGATTGAGATGGTGATGATGGTGTACGACTGTGAGGGCCTGGGCCTGAAGCACCTCTGGAAGCCAGCTGTGGACACGTATGGGGAGGTGAGGGCTCCTGCCCACCCCCCTTCCCACTGCCCGCAGGGGTCTGGGCTGGTCCCTGGATGACGCAGGAGCAGGTCCCTGCACTCCCCATGGCTTGGGTGACCTGAGCTCCCCCATCTGCAGATCCTGTCCATGTTCGAGGAGAATTACCCTGAGTCCCTCAAGCGCCTCTTTATTGTGAAGGGTGAGTTTAGCCCCAGGGTCCTGCTCCCCTTATCCAGGTGCTGGTGCCCCCCTAACGCCCCGCTCTGCCCCCAGCCCCCAAGCTCTTCCCCGTGGCCTACAACCTGGTCAAGCACTTCCTGAGCGAGGACACGCGCAAGAAGGTCGTGGTGCTGGGATGTGAGTCCTGACCCTCCCCAGGGTGTCCCAAATGGGGGTGACACGTCCCCACTCTGCTGTCAGCCTGCCCAGCGGGGATACCCCCACTTGCAGCCCCCCAAACCCACTGTCCTCCCCCCAGCCAACTGGAAGGAGGTCCTGCAGAAGTACATCGACCCCGCGCAGATCCCGGTGGAGTACGGGGGCACGCTGACGGACCCTGACGGGGACCCCAAGTGCTCCAGCAAGGTAGGAGGAGCCCCCGCGGGGTTCTTTCGGGCTGCTGGGCAGTTCCTCCACCCCCACGTCCTCCATCCCTTCCAGATAAACTACGGCGGGGATGTGCCCCAGCATTACTACGTGCGGGACCAGCTGGCACAGAAGTACGAGCACTCGGTCGTGGTCAACCGGGGCTCGTCCCACCAGGTCGAGTACGAGATCCTCTTCCCCGGCTGCGTCCTCAGGTGAGGGCGGCTCCGGGCCGCGGGCAGCGGGTGACAGCCGCCGTGTCCCAGCCCGCCGCAGCCCCGGCCCTGTGCCCTGCAGGTGGCAGTTCCGCTCCGAGGGCGCTGACATCGGCTTCGGGGTGTACCTCAAGACCAAGGTCGGGGAGCGGCAGCGGGCGGGCGACATGACCGAGGTGCTCCCCAACCAGCGCTACAACGCACACATGGTGCCCGAGGACGGCTCCCTCACCTGCTCCACACCCGGCATCTGTGAGTGCCCAGCCCTGCCCGGGCCGCTGCGGGACCCCCGCACCCCCGACCCACCGCGCCCCTGACCGCCCTGTCCCCCCGCAGATGTCCTGCGCTTCGACAACACCTACAGCTTCCTCCACTCCAAGAAGGTGAGCTACAGCGTGGAGGTGCTGCTGCCCGACGCCGCCTCGGCCCAGCAGATCCAGGGGGAGTCCCCGAACCACAGCCCCTGAGCCCCCCGGGCGGGCTGCACCGCGCCCCCAGGACGGCCCCGCGGGAAGATGGAGCCGGGGCCGAGCCCCGGGGCTGCCGGACTGAGGCGGGGCCGGACGGGGCCGGGCGCCCGCTGCCCCCCAGCTCTGTGCCTTATGCGGGTGCGCAGCCGCCGCTGCTCTGCCCGGCGGGCGAGTAAAGGGATGGACTGAGCGGGGTCTGCTCCGCCTCGTGGCTGCCCCTGCTGCCCGCCTCCACCCTGCAGCCAGCCCAGTGCCCCCGCCCAGTGCCCCAGGCCCGCAACTGCCCCTCAGACTCACAACTGCCCCCGCCCGAACTGCCCCAGGCCCGCAACTGCCCCTCAGACTCACAACTGCCCCCCCGCAGCTGCCCCCCAGCCCCAGCCCCGCCCCCGTGCCCGCCGCTGACGCAAGGCCGCGGGGTCACGTGCGTGGCCAGGCCACGCCCCGGCCGCCATCCCGCGGCCCCGAGGGGCGGGGCACGCGCATAACACACGGGGCGGGGCCATGCAAATCAGGTTCCAGTGGGCGTGGTTTGGTGACGTGTCGCCGGGGGCGGGGCATGCAGCGGGAGCGGCGGCGCGCGCCATGGGGCCGGAGGAGCCCGACCTGTACCGGGACACGTGGGTCCGATACCTGGGTGAGCACCGGCAGCCGGGCACCGCCCTGGCACCGGCACCGGGAGCCGGGCACCGGCACCGGGCACTGACATTGAGCGCTGACACCGGGAACCGGCACCGGACATTGAGTGCAGAGCACTGACACTGGCCGCAGCTGCCCCCCAGCCCCAGCCCCGCCCCCGTGCCCGCCGCTGACGCAAGGCCGCGGGGTCACGTGCGTGGCCAGGCCACGCCCCGGCCGCCATCCCGCGGCCCCGAGGGGCGGGGCACGCGCATAACACACGGGGCGGGGCCATGCAAATCAGGTTCCAGTGGGCGTGGTTTGGTGACGTGTCGCCGGGGGCGGGGCATGCAGCGGGAGCGGCGGCGCGCGCCATGGGGCCGGAGGAGCCCGACCTGTACCGGGACACGTGGGTCCGATACCTGGGTGAGCACCGGCAGCCGGGCACCGCCCTGGCACCGGCACCGGGAGCCGGGCACCGGCACCGGGCACTGACATTGAGCGCTGACACCGGGAACCGGCACCGGGCACTGACATTGAGCGCTGACACCGGGAAGCGGGCGCTGACATTGAGTGCAGAGCACTGACACTGGGTAGAGGCGCCGGGAGCTATGGGAGCGCCGGGAACCGGGCACTGACACCGGGTACTGACACCGGAAACCGGGTACCAGCATCGGGCACTGACACCGGGTACAGCCGCGGGGACCTGGGCATTGACATTGGGCACTAAGATCAAATACCACCACTGACATCGGGCACCGGCTATGCAAACGGGGCAGTGGTACCGGGCACCGGCCCCTGTCACAGGGTACCAACACCGGGGACTGGGCATGGACTCACCAGACACTGGTACCGGTACCAACATCAGGCACGACACCAGGAACCAGGCACTGACACCCGGCCCTGCGTTAGGAAAGTGACACCAGACACCGTGTCAGGTACCGGGCGCCACAGGGCACTGCACTGCCCCGGGCACCACGCCTGGTACCGGGCACTGACACCCAGCGCTGGTACCACAGAGTGTGCTGGGTCCATGGTACCAGGCACTGACACCCAGCCCTGGTACCACAGAGTGTGCTGGGTCCATGGTACCGGGCACTGACACCCAGCACCAAGTACTGCGCACTGCCCCAGACACTGATGCAGGTTCTGGTACCAGATACCAGCACCACTCAGCAGGCCCTGGCACTGTGCGCTGGCATGGCACAGCACACAGGGTGACAGCACTGCACAGCAGCACCAGGTACCTGTCACTGTCACCAGCACTGGCTAGTGGCACCATCCACCAGTGCCACCAGGACCAGTTACTGGCTCCTGCCAGGCACTGGGCACAGAGCAGAGCCCAGAGGTGGCACTGTCACTAGCACGGGGCAGTCACAGACAGCAGCCCTGGCAGCGCCGGTGGCAGCGGGTCCAAGGAGACCCAGGCACTCCAAACACCCCGTGTGACACCCATCCAGTGACACCGGGACAGCCTGTCCCTGACCCTGCCATCCCCTCAGGTTATGCCAACGAGGTGGGCGAGTCCTTCCGCGCACTGGTGCCGGTGCCAGTGGTGTGGGCCAGCTACGGCGTGGCCACCGCCTACGTGACCGCCGACGCCATCGACAAGGGCCGGAAAGCCGCCGCCGTGAGTGCCACCCCTCCCAGCCCGCAGCCTCTCCATCCCCGCCCTTCCCCTGACCCCCGTGTCCCCCCAGGCCCACGCACAGGACCCCACGCGCGTGGGGGTGGCCGTGGTGGACACCTTCGTGTGGCAGAGCCTGGCCTCGGTGGCCATCCCCGGCTTCACCATCAACCGGCTGTGCGCCGCCTCGCTGGCCCTGCTGGGCGCCCTGACCCGCTGGCCCCTGCCCGTGCGCCGCTGGACCACCACTGCCCTGGGGCTGGCTGCCATCCCCCTCATCATCACCCCCATCGACAGGTAACGGGGACACCCCTGGGGCGGGGGACAGGCGGCTGCCACCACCCCAGCCCCACAGCCCCGAGCGATGGGGCGCGTTTGTCTGCTTGGAGACCGGTCCCAGCGTGGGCGTGGGGCTGGGAGCAGAGGGTGGTGACGGGCTGGCTCCTCTGCAAAGGGGCTTTGCTGGGGTCCAGCCAGGACATGTCCCTGCCAGGACGGGGATTATCCGGAGCTGAGCCGGGATTAGCACAGTGAGGCTGTGCTAAACCTGGTTTTGGTGGTGCTGGTGTCTCGGGGGATATTAAGGACAGCCCCACCCATCCCGCATCACCTCCACTGCCCCAGAGCCCCCCGGGGCCCTGCTGACGCCCTCTCCTGCCACAGGACTGTGGATTTCCTGATGGATTCCAGCCTCCGCAAGCTTTACAGGACACCAGGAGAGCCCCCGACGTCCCACTGAGCACCACCCTGCGCGCTGGGGAAACTGAGGCATGCTGCTGTGACCCACCTACTGTGACCCCTCACTCTGGTGACCCCCAGAGTGGCCACCCTGCCCCACACTGGTCCTAATAAACCATTTCAAACATGACCCCTGGTGGGTGATGCTGAGGTGCCACCAGAGCCAGGCCATGTCCTCTCCTGGGGGACGCACGGGTCTGGGTGAATCCTGACCCCTCAGGGGTCTCCACCTGGGAGAGGGGGTCTCTGCCTGCCCAGAGCAGCCCTGCTGTCCCCAGCCTGGAACCTTTCCATCTCCACAGCCTCGTGGGACATCCTGGGGGCTGTCCCCAAGGAGCTGCATGGTCTCTAAGGACATAAAATCCACCCAGCCAGGAGGCACCATCTCCAGCACCACAGGCTGGGACAGTGCCACTCCATCTGGAAGCCACAGGAACCTGGAGATGTGCCTTGCCAGTGTAGGGGCACATCTCCATCCCTTGGTGGCATCCACACGTTACCAACCAGGAGAAGCTTTAGAGAAAGCAAAGCCACATTTATTGGTGAGAAGGAGGCTCTGGCCCCATCTGGCCCTGTTTCTCCGTCTCCCTGAGGAGCAGGGCCCCCACCACGCTCTGCAGCTCAGCCTGGAAGGGACACCGCTGCCTCGGTGGCCGCTGTCCCCGCGGGGCTCTGCGCAGGCGCCGGGTGCTCAGGGCCAGCCCCAGCAGCCCCCCCAGCACGGAGACCACCAGCACAGCACTGCCCACCAGGGCCAGCAGGAACCTCCTCCCTGTCCGGCACGGTGCTGGGAATGGCAAACACACCTGGGGCTCAGAGGGGGGTTCAGCACAAGGAGTGGGGTTTTGGGGACATGGGAGAGGGTTGGGGTGTCCCTCACCTTCATACCACGGCAGCTTCTCCTTCTGCACCAGCACTGGTCCAACTGTCTCCCAGTGGAGTGTCCCCTCTCCTGGGAATGCTGTGGGAGGATATGTCCAGGGCAGTCCAGCACAGGTCCAGGAGCCCTCCCAAGACCCCAAAACAACCTGGGGCCACCCTGTCCCACCCCGGTACCTGGCATGTCTCCGTGGAGGGTGTCAGCAGCAGGACAACCGCTGTCACAGCAGCGGCATGGGGTACTCTGGACAGGGTCCTCTGCATTGTGCCAGCTGGGAGAGGAGAGGACAGAGCTGGGGAGGGTGGCTCTAGGGGTCCCCAGACTCCACCACAAGACCCACATGGTGCCACCCCAGAGATGTCTGCAAGCACCTCCACAACACCTCTGCAGCATGGGGGAGCTGGGGCCTGTGGCAATGCCACCAGCTGCCATCAAATAAGAGGTAACATCCAGACCACAGTGGGGTGACTTGGTCTTCCCAGAGGTGGGTTCTGCCCCCAGCACACCCATGAGGTGCTCGTGTCCCCAGACATCCGGCGTACCTGGCCGTGGTGTGGCTGTAGAAGCAGGACCTGGTGGCACGTCCTTGTCCCCATGCCATCAACAGGCAGTGCACGTAGACCTGCTGGGACACCGCATCCTTCCTCAGGGACCCTGCTCTCCTTGCACACCTCGTGGAGCTGAGGCCACCCCAGCAGGAGTGCTGTGTCTCAGGACGGACAATGTTTTGGGACAGCCAGGTCATCCCCCTCCCTGGGACCTCCATCCCACCACCAAGGGCATCATCCCCACCTCACCTGCTCACCCTCCAGCGTGGGGGCCAGGATGGAGAGCTGGAGGACAGACCCCCCTCTCTGGTGCTGGACAGACACGTTCCCCAGCTTCTCCCCGTGCAGGCACCTGTGGCAGGAGAGTGGCACAGGACATTCCAGGGCTGTCTCCAGGCTCTGGACATCCCTTTCCATCAGGAGGTCCTGCAGGACCCCAGGGTGGCTGGAGAAGGAGCCCCTGCTTCCTGCCCCACCAGCACTGACCCACGGCTGTTCACCACCATGAAGACCCTCCTGGAGTGTCCTGGCTGCTCCGAGGTGGTCCAGTAGCACTGATCCACGTGGATCTTCAGGGAGATGCTGGGACTGAAGAGGACACTGGCTTCCAGGTGGATCATAGAGCCAGGACTGAGCACTGGCAGCTTCTCTGGAGTGGCACTGGAGTCCTCTGAGAAGTGTGGGTTCAGTGTGACACCCCCAAACTTATCCCACCAGAGATGAGGGCACCAGACACATCCCAGACAACCATCCCCACAGCTTCCCCCTTTCAGAGCCCACTCCCCATCCTGGCTCTGTCCCCCAGGCAGAATCTCTCCAGAGATTCCTGGACCCCCCCGCCATGGAGCTGAGAGGGACCATGTCACCCATCGGGGCAGAGCTGACCCCAAACCCCATTGAGATATCAGGCACAGGACTGGGAACATCTCAAAGCCCTACACAAGGACAGGGGGGAGTTCCTGCAGGGAAGGCCACCTTTCCTGGTGGTCCAAGTCCTGGGGCCAGCCAGGAGAAGGCACTGACTGCTGCTGGTTGAGCCCAAGGGTCTTGGCTGGACCCATCCCATGGTCTCACCCCCAGAGCACTCACCATCCAGGAGCCTCAGGGTGAAGTTCATGATGGGCTCCTCAGAGAGGGGGTGAGCAGGAACCCTCCCTGTCCCCATGCCTGAGGACATCACTGGAGCTGTCACCGTGTGACCAAGTGGCTCTGAAGCAACTGGAGCCATGGTGGTGCCTGCGAGGGGAGGGCTGAGCCAGCAGCTGCATGTCCCAGACACAGCAGGGACATCCAGGTCCTCAGGTGTCCCCAGGACTTGTTTGGGACAGGTGGCAGAAGCACAAAGGCAGGGAGAGCACCCAGGAGCACATCAGGGCTCCTCTGTCCCCAGCCCCACCCCAGCAGGAGCTCACCTGCACTACAGGAATACACCAGGAGCATTCCCAGCACCATCACCCTGCCCAGGCTGGGGACAGTCAGGAGCTGCTCATGGGGTGGGACACCACTGTCAGTAGCCACAGACCCCACCAGTGCCTCTGATCCCCCTCGCCCAGCCAGGACCCACCAGCCCTGCCGGGACCTCAGGGGAGCTCCAGGCAGCCCCTTGCCCCAACCCTCAGAGCTTGGGATCATTTTAGGAAGGCTCCTCTACCCCAGGCCAGCCCCCAGGTGACCATCAGGAGCCAGCACTGGGCAAAGCAGGGGGCACCCAGCACCCACCTCCCCCAGGACAACCAGTGGGAGGAATGAAGGGGGATCCCAGCCCCGCTCACCTGCCACCTCCAGCACAGCCCCACACACCAGCACCACCAAGCACAGCTCCATCCCTGGTGAGCAGCATCCCCACCCCAACAGCTGGGGGTCTTTAAGGACTTGGGGCTGGGTGCCAATGGGTCCCAGCTGGCACTGATGGGGTTGGGGGCTTTGCTTGGTCTCTGCAGCCATCGGCAGCCCCACACCTGGGGCTGGTCCCACCCCTCACACCTTCCCAGCCCCACCACGAGAGCCTGTGCCCATCTTCCAGTCCCCATTCCATCCACAGCCCCAGTGCCACCACTCAGACTGGTCCTGCAGGTGGTCCTGAGCATGATCCCACACCCACCAGTTAGTCCTGGTCCCATCACACCAACCAGTTCTGTTCCCAGGTGTGATGCTGGGCCTCCCATGCCGTTGTTGTGGTCCTGGTCCTCAGGAAGGTGCAGATCCCCCACAAGGTCCCATCCCCACCAGCCAGTCCTGGTCCTGTGCATGGTGCTGCTCCCACCATGTCCTTTTACTCCTGCACATGGTCCTGATCCAAGCAGTTTGCCCTGATCCCAGTCCACCACACGGCCTGGTCCATCACTGAGCCCTGCTCCCACCTCAAGGTTCTTAAGCCCACCCCAGTTTTGACCCCACCATTGTCAGGATCCCATGGCTGATCCTGATCCCACCAGAGAGTCCCAGTCCCCAGCACCCCTCCTGGTCCCATCACAGCTCTGCTTCCAGCCCTGCTGGAGAGGAGCACCACCTGGGAGCAGCAGCTTGGCCACAGCCAGCTCAGAGACCTGGTGAAGTGCTCGTGTCCCTGGGTCCTGCCTATCTCAGGTGGGCCCATCACAGCCCCAACATCCCACCACAGGCCTCCTCTGAGTGGGCTGACCTGGTGGCCTGGCTGCAGAGGGAGCTTGGAGAAGACCCAGTGCAAGTCCCGTGGCCACCCTGAAATGGGGTGCTCCCCACCAGCAGCAGAGCTGGAGCATGCTGGCACAAGTGGTTTGTGTCACCAGTGATGATGGTCCCATGGCTCTGCCATCCCTGTGAAGCCAGCAGAGCTTCCTGGGGGCACCTGCACACCATGGGCATGTCCCCCAGCATGCAGCAGGGACAGTGGGGACGGAGCCAGGCACCCCATTTGCACTGAGGGTCTCATTCCCCAGCCCTGCCTGGGTGACACAGGACATCCCACCCCCAGGACTGATGGGGACAGTGGTGTCAGGACCCTGGGGAGCTCCCAGAAGGAGTTGAGCATCCTGCTGTGGCTGTAAGAACATCCTCATTCATCCCATCCTGGAGAAGACCCATGGCTCTGCCATCCCTGTGAAGCCAGCAGAGCTTCCTGGGGGCACCTGCACACCATGGGCATGTCCCCCAGCATGCAGCAGGGACAGTGGGGACGGAGCCAGGCACCCCATTTGCACTGAGGGTCTCATTCCCCAGCCCTGCCTGGGTGACACAGGACATCCCACCCCCAGGACTGATGGGGACAGTGGTGTCAGGACCCTGGGGAGCTTCCAGGAGGAACAGGGACTGGCTGAGCATCCTGCTGGGGCTGTAAGAACAACCTCACCTCATTCATCCCATCCTGGAGAAGGAGGAGATGGCTGGAGACCAGCTGGACCATCCTTATATCCAAAACTACCAAATATACAATTATATTACAAAAGTAAATTGTTTTTTTTATTTCTGGTCTTTACAGAAGGAGCTGAACACAGGTGGGAGGACAAGGGGGACCCTTTGCTGGGGGAGGGTGGCCCAGCCACAGGTGCCACCTCTGTGCCCAGCCAGGGCTACTCTCAGTGGGACGTGGCGTCGCCGGTGTCATCCAGCCCAGCTGGGACGCACGAGGTTTGTCCCCAAGGCAGGGTGGGACTGGGGATGGCCCCTGCCCTCAGCATCCCCACCGTGCCCCGCATGGCATCACGGGGACAGTCCCACTGCACCCCTCCCATCTCCTCCCCACACCAGCTGTCACCAGACCCTGTTGGCCTTTTGGGGTGTCCCCTCTGGGGACCAGGACCACGGGCTCCTCTAACTGGGATGATGGGGGGCAGTGAGGGTGTGCCCTTTGCCACAGGGACCTGTTGATAAAGGCTGGGGCTTTTAGGATGGGTTTTCCAATCTCCAAATGGCTCCGGGTGCCTCTAGGTCACAGCCTAGCTGTTGGTGGGCTGAGAACATGCTGCACTCATCACACCCAAGGGCTGAGGCAGTGCAGCAGATTCTGACAGTCCCACACTCCAAAACCAGGGCTCAGTGGGGTGATTTGAGGAGCTCCCGGAGGGCTGGGTTCCCTGTGGGCATCTCTGCCCACCCCGGGCAAGGGAGACCCTCTACCACTGCTGTCCCAACACATCCCTGCCTGCACCCAGCAACCTGGTGATGGATGCCTGCTCCCGCTGTGATGAGGCCACATCCTTCATAAATCCCTCCTCCAGCTTTTCCATGGGGAAGGAAGAAGTGGATCCTGCAGGAAAGCACCACCCCTGGAGCCCCAGTCCTTGACCCCACTGACAGAGGGAGAGTCTCTGCTCTCCTGCCCAAGCTGGGGCTCTGCAGGAAGGTGACAGAGGGTCCCCCCAAAAGTTCCTGGGCTCCAGAGCCTCCAGCCAGTTCCAAACCAAGAGAACCATGAGTAACAAAAACGAAAGCACCTGGTTCTTCCCCAGGGAAGCGGGGCACCTGCCAGCCCCTACCACTTGAGGAAGTCCCGCACGTAGCTCCATAGCTTGGTGATCCAGAGGTTGGCCCCCAGGTCAGTCAGGTACTGGATTTCGGGTGTCAGCATCTTGCGGCACAGCTTCTGGTGCTTCTTGCTGATCTTCTTCTTCAAGTTGTACCCCAGGATGGTCTTCTCCCCCAGCGGCTGCCAGGGCTGCATGGAGGACTCCTGGATGGCGCTGGCATCCACGGCGTGTCCCCCGTCGATGCAGATGCTGGTCATCTTCTTGTTCTCCCTCTGCAGCTCGGCCACGTCCCTGGCCATCCTCTCCCTCCCGTAGGCCTCCACCTTGCGCCAAAAGGTGGCATTGAAGTAGCGGTAGAGCTTGGCGTCGATGAGGTTCCAGGCGGTCGCCTGCTTGTACAGCTCAGGGGTCAACCGGGACACGGTGGAGCCCTTGCGGGCGTTGAGCTTGAAGTAGAGGACGTCCTCCAGCTGCCAGCACAGCAGGTCCTTGAGCAGCACCAGCGACTCATCAAAGTACTCGAGCAACATGACGAGGTGGAAGCGGCGGTCGATCTCCTGGATGTGCTCCTCCACCAGCGGGCTGTTGGCGTCCATGCTGCTGTCGTAGCCGAAGTCGAAGAACAGGAGGTTTTGGAGGTAGTGAGCGTTGAACCCGTTGGGGTCGTAGTAGTGCTGGGGGTCCCGGAGGAACTCGTCCAGCTTATCCTCCCCCGTGATCTTCCAGGTGAGGGGGATGACGGGCCCGAAGTAGTGGAAGGAGGACTCGAAGAGGTACGCGGGGTCCCGCAGCACCGTCACGAAGGTGGTGTCGGGCGGCAGGAGCTTGCGCACCTCCTCGTAGTGGAAGCGCATGTGGTTGCAGATGATGTTGAAGCACACCCCGGGCCGGTAGTGCTGCACCTGGCTGCGCTCGAAGAAGGACGGGTAGTAGAAGTCGTTGCGGCCGTTGGGGAAGGCGAATTTCAGGCGATGCTTCTCCCCGAAGCGGAAGAGGATGTTGAGGATGGTGCTGCTGGCGGTCTTGTGGGTCTTCATGAACATGACGTTGAGCTTGGGCCGGCAGCTCCACCCCGAGGCACTGCCCGTGCCGTTGGACGGGGACGGAGCCTGGGCAGCGGACAGGTGGGAGGAGCAGGAGAAGGGGACGGGGATCCTGGGTGAGGGAAGAGGTGAAGCACCATGGTGAGTGGCACTGGCACTTTGAAGGCTTAGGAATAGTCTGTGCTGGTGGAGCTGGATCTGGGGAGGGGTGCTGGACCCAGGAATAGGTGCTGGACCTTGGGCATATACACTGAACCTGGGAATGGGTGTTGGACCTGGGGACAGGTGCTGGACCTGGGAATGGGTTCTGGAAAAGGAAATAGTTGCTGGAAATGGAAATAGAGCAGGGGGTCTCCATGGACATGGCCATAGTGGTCCTGGTGGAGGTGATGCCAAAAAGTGCATTAAGGGGAGCTCTCCATGGCCACAACTCCACGGAGAGGAGCTGATAACATTTTTATGGGGTATGAGAACTCTTAGCCCTTTGTAGGATCTATGGAGGAGGCTTTGGAGCTCTCAACCCTTTGTAGGATTCATGCAGGGGGGCTAGGCAGCTCTCAGCCCTTTGTAGGATCCATGGAGGAAGACAGGGACATTTCAACCCCTTATAGGAGTCATGAACTCCTCATGGAGTCATGAACTCCTCCATGGAGGAGGTCTGGGAGCTCTCAACCCTTTACAGGAGTCACAAACCCCTCAAGGGATTTGTTGGTGTCTGGGACCTCTCAGCACCTTGTGGGATCCAAGAAAGATTCAGCAACGAGGGAAATAATTCCAGACTTGGCCCCACAGATGAGTTCATGGGCCCTGAAGGAGCACGTGAGGACAAGGAATGTTATCTGAGCTGCCTGAGGCAGCAAACAGAGCCCACAGAGTCGAGTGACTTTGGACATCTGTAATGAAGTCACCAAACTGATCCTTGATAATCCCCACCCAACAGCACCACGTTTGTGAGGCATGTGGACCTTGTTTACAAGCTTGGAGATTAATTTGATGACAGGTGGAATGGCTGGGAGCTGAGCGCTGTGGAGCTCCAGCAGTGAAAGGACTCAAGACTTAATCCTCCTCTCCTCTCCTCTCCTCTCCTCTCCTCTCCTCTCCTCTCCTCTCCTCTCCCCCTTCCCTCCCTTTCCACCCAGGAGCACTGAGTGCCCCACGGTGTCCCCAGCCCTGCCAGGAGTTGGGGACAGGGTGCAGCTTCCAGCAGGAAGGGGACACCTTGGTGTGAAGCCACCAGGGTCTGGAAAGCCCCAGGGCCACCTCCAGCTGGGGGTTCCTGGTGAGGAACAGGGAGGCCGAGCTGCAGGGGGGACACGCGGGGACCCCAGACTCACTCAGTGACGCTGACTTGCAGCGGGGGGACGGCGTAGGAGTAGAGCAGCAACATGAAGCTGGTCAGGAGGGTCCCCAGGACCAGCCCCTTGCACATGGACTTCCAGGGCTTCCCATGCCACAGCATCCTGGTCACCTGCAGGCAGAGAGGAGAGACGTTGGTGCCAGGGACACAGGGACTGGGGGATGTGTGGCTCCGACGAAGCACGTGGACATGTCACAGGCATGGCAATTCCCTGGCAAGCATCCCGCCGGTGCCCGGCGTGATCCACGGCAGATCTGTGGCCCAGGCCCAGCGGCTCTGCCCGCCCAGCCAACCTTTGCCCGCCCTGGGAAAACCGAGCGACTGCCAGGGCGGGAGAGGCTGCAGGGCTGGGACTGGGGGAAAGGGGAGCTGTGGACAGAGCCCAGGGGCAGAGTGGGCAACGGAGGGACAGAGTGGCCATTCTCCAGTGGGACACCACCAGCACCACAGGAGCTCCCTGAGGGTGCTGGGATCCATTTTCCCAGGAAAATTTGCAGGCCGGAGCAGGAGCTGCAGCAGCTCGGGATGGTTTGGGTGCTGCAATACCCTCCCAGTGCAGCCTCTCCAGCCCTGCCAGCAGCACTGGGGGGCTCAGGGCGCTCCACAGGCTGTGGCAGCTTGGGCTGGCCCAGGGTGGAGGCCAGGGACAGGGAACTGGGAACAGAGGGTGCAGGCAGGACAGGCCCCTAAACACACAAAACACACATACACACACAGAGGGCACACACAGACACCCCCGTCCCCTGGTGTGCTCCTGTGTGCACCAGGACACACATCCCTCAATGCGTGTTCATGCACACACAGGCGCACACACAAAATGTGCACACACAAAATGTGCACACACATCAGCTGTGTTCACACACACACACACGTGCACACACAGACACACGCACACAAACACGCTCACAGAGCCCCTGTGCCCCTGCCCCCTCTCCAGCACTCCCCCCGTGGTCCCCATCCCTGTCCCCTCCCTCCCTCCGCCCGGGACACGGCGGTCACCCTCACTGTGACACCGCATTGCAGCAGGGCCGTCCCCTGCGGCAGGACACGGGGACGCGGGGACACGGCAGCCGTGACCGCAGCCCTCCACAGCCGAGCTCCGCGCCCGGGAGCCCCCCAGCTGGGGGATGAGCCCCCCGGCCCTGCACCCCGGTTAGCGGCGGGATCAGCATCGCCTGCCTGCCCCCGCTCCCGCTGCTCCACATCCTCCGGAGCCCCTCGGCCAAGGCTGCGCTCCCACTGAGTAACAGCCCCAAAAATAACACCCCCAAAAATAACACCCCCAAAAATACCCCGCGGTCCCCCACCCCCGCCCCGCATCGCCCCCTCAGCGCCTCAGAGCTCCGCGGGTATCCCGGCGGGATGCCATCCGCTGCCATGAGCCGTGGGTCGCAGCCGGCACATCTCCCCCATGCCCCGGGCAGAGCCCCCCGCTCTCCCCCAGCCGCGGTTACCGTGCCCCGCGGTCCCGGGGTGCCGCTGCTGCCGCCGCTCCCCCGCGCCGGCCCCCCCGGTCGGATCGCCTCGTGCTGCCGAGATTTCCAGCCCGATGAATAATGAATGGAAATGCAACCGGAGTCCCGGGCTGCGGCCGGGTGCGGGGCACAGCGCCGCGGACAGCGGGGGAGCTGCGAGAGGGGCACCGGGGGCACCCCAGAAGCTCATCCGAGTGCCCCCCACATCCCCTGGAGCCGGGAGCGCTGGATCAGGCAGGGCTGGCGCATCCAGCCTCTTCCCGAGTGGTTCCCATGTGCGAGTGGGGGTGCACGGTGTCACCGCGGGGGGAGCAGGTGGCTCTGACTGTATCCCAAAACCACCGTGGGGGTGAGAATGCCAGACGGCTCCAGGAGCAGCTGGAGCTCGGTTTTGCACGGTGGCTGTGATTCCATCACAGTCACCACCTGGCACCACCTGGAAAAGCCACTGGCCCTTTGAGAGGGCTGGGGAGACACCCACTTTTGTGGGTGCTGCCAAGAGGGAGCAAAGCTGGCACCAACTCCACAGGAGCGAGTGAAATGGCGCCATAAACCTCTCTGATGAGCCCCAATGGATCCCAGTGAGTTCAGATGGGTCCCAATGGATCCTGATAGATCCTTATGGGACCCCACCAGGCCCCCAGGACCACACAGCACCGAATTCCAGAGCTCTGGGATGCCAAGGGGATGCCTCGCTCCACCCTGCCTGCCTCCCAGGGGTGGTTCTGGCAAACACTTCCCAGCCAAATATTCTATTGACTTTGCCTTCAGTGAGCAGCTTAATTATTAATAGCTCGTTAGGAGCAAGTGGTGCACTGGGTGTTCTCCTGGGGCTCCCACGGGTGGGGTGTGCCCGCGGCGCCAGCCGGCTGAGATGCCCAGTCGGAGATCACGGCTGCACCCACCATTTCCTCAAGAGGTACCCAGGCCAGGCCACCCAGCTCTGCAGCCCCAGCTCCATGTCCCAGCAGCTCCCCATCTCCCTGGGGACACCCCAGAGTCTATTTTTGGGTTTTTCCTACAGCATAAATTATTTTAGGGCCAAGCCCCTGCCATACACAAGGTGCATGCACCTGCTTGCTCCTGATCCCACAAATCCATGAACAGTTTTCCACAGGCCCCATCCCACACAGGCATGCTGCTTCCTACCCCCCTGCCCCCCTGTGCCCTATGGGACACACGATTCCCCCTATCATCCTGCTCCATAGAGCCGCTTCCTGAGCATCCCACTGCCCCCCCAGCATCCCAACACCCCCTCAAGCATCACACCACCTCCTTATCATCCTGCTGCCCCCCAGCATCCCACCGCCTCCCAAGCAACCCAACAAGCATCCTGCTGCCCCCTTCCCACCGTGCCACCCTCCAAGCACCCCCACACCCCCGGTACCATCACCTTTTGCTGTCCCGCAGCGCTGGCGCTGGGCCGTGCCTCTGCTCTCCTGCGCGGACCGGGGTGCCGGGGGAGCGGGCGGCACGGCGCGGGGGGGCCGATGCTGCTCCGACATGGAACAAGCTCTTCCCGGGCAGCTCCCCGCAAACGCTTTTCCAAAGCCTCCCCTCTGCACCGCGGTGTTTACGGCATCACCGGCATCGCGGCCCTGGGTCGCCGGCCTGGGAAGGGGGAACGGGACAGCAGTGGGAGCGGCTGGCGGGGGACGCGGGGCTGCGGCCGGGCACTGCCCGGCTCCCCGGGGCCGGCCCTGGGTGCCTGCGGCCACCCCAAGCCACCCGGCCCCCACCCACGGCCGGGGCACAGAGGAGCCATTCAGCCCGCGCCGCGAACAACGGCGACATTTGTCTCCATCTGTGCCCGCGGCCTCAACGGGGACATTGTCCCCGCGGGCCGCACCGCCGGCCCCTCGGCTCGCTGCCACCGGCCCGGCGTGGCCCCACAGCCCTGGGTGCCGGCGGCTGTCCCTGGGCGGCGGCACCCACCTCCCGCCAGCCACCGGCCTGCTGCCCCTCGTCCCACAGCACCGACGGCCCGGCCGTCACCTCCCGCAGCCCGAGCTCACCTGCCTTTGGGGAGCTGGCCCCCGCGCCCCGTCCCAGCCGGGCCACGCACCATCGGCTCCCCTTCATCCTCCCGCAGCCTCCCCGCCCTCCTTCCTCCCTCCCACAGTTTCCATGGATTTATGGCCTTAATGAGAGCAATATTCTGGCATCTCCAACCTTGGTGTGACATCTGTGGGACAACCACGATGCCAGCAGCCTTTCCACCCGCCTCTTGTCACAGCAGCCAAGTGGGGGCCCAGAGGGTGCCCTGGCCACACCAGGAGGGCTCAGCCCTGTCGCTGGTCCGTCACCCTGCATGTGGCAGGGTGGAAAAGGGGCTCTTGTGCTCCTGGATGCAGCCTAGGCTGTTCCTGCTGCCCTTAGTCTGTCACTAAAGGGGGTGGTGTCAGCGCTGGGGCCCCAAGCAAGGGGTGACCACCCTGGCCATGCCTGGGACTCACCATCCCTGCTGGGGGTGCTCGGGGTTCAGAGCTTGTCCCTACAGGATTTGTGGACATCACCTTGCAGTGAGGTGGCAGCTCTTGCCTCATCCCTGGCAGCTGCCCCATCCTGCCTGACCACACCAGGGTAACCTGCACGACCCCCCGAGATCAGGAAAAGCCAGAACACCTCAGTTTTCATCATCATCATCATCATTGCAAGAGAAGGGGTGAAGACAGTCACAGGATGTGCTGTGGAACTGGTGGCGTGGGAGTGATGAGCTGTCCCACCCTGTCTCTACAGGGCACCTCTCCCAGTTCCAGGTTTCCCCCTCTTTTTGGGATGGGTCATAAGAGGATACCAGATTTTCCCCCTTTTTGTGGGCGGGTTATGAGGGGATTCCAGGTTTCCCCTGTGTTTTTTTGAGGGGATGGATTGCGAAGATTTTCCAGGTTTCCCCCCCACCTTTTTTTTTTTTTTTGAATGGGTCACAAAGTATTTCCAGGTGTCCCATTTTCTGGGGAATGGGCTGTAAAGGGTTTCCAGCCAGAAGAGAGCTGCAGTGGCCGGTATGTGGCAGCTCAGCCATGGAATGCTGACAGCCTGGGGACAAATGTGACCAGCAGGGAAGCTGCAACCCCCCATTCCCCACATCCACCACGTCCCGGGAGGGCTCCACCACCTCATCCCCACCCCTGTCCCTGTCCCCCCTGGATTTGGGGGTGCAAAGCAGCACTCACTGAAAGCTGTGATGGCCGGAGCCGTGGATCCTGAGGGAGCCGTGGATCCCGAGGCGTTGGGTGAGGAGGCTGAGGGTGGCAACACTGAGGGGTCACACTCGGCCGGACGCACGCCTTTATGTGCCGGGGAGGCCCCGGGCGGCCGGACCGGTCTGTGGCCACCGGCACCGGCCTTGCCCGGCCGGCCCAGCCCCGAGGCCTGGCTGCGAGGGAGGCCTGCGGCTGGGGCTTGCTTGGGGCCGGGGTTTTGGGAGCTGGGGCTTGCTTGGGGCTGGGGCTGGTTTGTTTGGGGCCGGAGTTGTGGGAGCTGGGGTTTGTTTGGGGCAGGGGTTTGCTTGTTTGGGGCCAGGCACACTGGGCCGGACGCACGCCTTTATGTGCCGGGGAGGCCCCGGGCGGCCGGACCGGTCTGTGGCCACCGGCACCGGCCTTGCCCGGCCGGCCCAGCCCCGAGGCCTGGCTGCGAGGGAGGCCTGCGGCTGGGGCTTGCTTGGGGCCGGGGTTTTGGGAGCTGGGGCTTGCTTGGGGCTGGGGCTGGTTTGTTTGGGGCCGGAGGTTTGGGAGCTGGGGTTTGCTTGGGGCTGGGGCTGGTTTGTTTGGGGCAGGAGTTTTGGGAGCTGGGGTTTGTTTGGGGCAGGAGTTTTGGGAGCTGAGGTTTATTTGGGGCTGGGGTTGGTTTGTTTGGGGCCGGGGTTTTGGGAGCTGAGGTTTGTTTGGGGCTGGAGGTTTGGGATCTGGGGTTTGTTTGGGGCCAGAGTTGTGGGAGCTGGGGTTTGTTTGGGGCAGGAGTTTTGGGAGCTGAGGTTTATTTGGGGCTGGGGTTGGTTTGTTTGGGGCCGGGGTTTTGGGAGCTGGGGTTTGTTTGGGGCAGGGGTTTGTTTGGGGCTGGAGGTTTGGGATCTGGGGTTTGTTTGGGGCCAGAGTTGTGGGAGCTGGGGTTTGTTTGGGGCAGGGGTTTGTTTGGGGCTGGAGGTTTGGGACATGGGGTTTGTTTGGGGCCGGGGTTTTGGGAGCTGAGGTTTATTTGGGGCAGGGGTTTGTTTGGGGCAGGAGTTTTGGGAGCTGAGGTTTATTTGGGGCTGGGGTTGGTTTGTTTGGGGCCGGGGTTTTGGGAGCTGAGGTTTATTTGGGGCAGGGGTTGGTTGGTTTGGGACTGGGACTCTCAGGGCTTGAGGCCCCGTTCAGGGTCTCCTGATCTGTGAGGAGCCCCAGCCCTGGGGTGCCCCAGGGGTCAGTCCTGCTCCTCCTGTGAGAGGGGACAGCAAGGAGAAAAACAAAGGGAAAAGCCTTCCAACCCTCTGAAGCTGAAAGAAAAAAAAAAGAACGGGAAATAAGAAAAAAAAAGGGAGGGGAAAAAAAGGGGGGGAAAGAGGTCAAGGGGAAAAATAAAATAAAAAGGAATAAAAGACAGAAAAAAATGAAAAAAAAATTGAAAACAAAGGGAGAGAATGGAAACAGTAAAAAGAAAAAAGGCACTTAAATAAAATTGAACATTTTAAAAAATAACAAATAAAAAGGAAACAAATATCTAGGAAAAGAAACTAAATCTGAAAGTCTGGGTGTTGCCAGCTGTTCCCTGTCTGAGCTCACTCCCAGGGCTGTTATTCTCCAGATCCTCTCTGTGTCCCCACAGCAGTGCCAGTGGTATCCTCCAAAAATTCCTCAGTGAGACAGCCTTCACCACATTTGGGAACAAAGGTGTGCCCACAAACCCCACAAGACACCGTGTCCCCAGCTGCAGTGTCTCCAAGGTGTTTTTGGGGGAAAACCCAGGACTGACAGACAACTGCTGATGCAAGAACACATCCAGCAGGATCAGCAACCCTGGCAGCAGCCATGGATCTCCACATCCATCCACATCACCCCCTGAGGGGCCTCCCCCATGCCCAGGCAGAAGGAGCAGACAACAAACAGCACCAGGAAATGCGTCACCTTCTTTAATTAAAAATAAAAATACAGGGGAATATGGTTTTCTGTGTGGATACTGGGAAGCAGCTGCAGGCTCTGCACTCCTCTGCCCCGGGGAGCTCCTGGGAGCCAGGCTCAGCAGCCAGGGCTGTGCAAATTCACAGGGAACAATCCCAGAGCTCTCCCTGGCCTCCTCTTCCTCACGCAGAGGTGGCACCAGCACGGAGAGGACAGTCCTTGTAACACCGACTCCACAGAGGGCAGCGGGGAAAGGCAGAGCAGCAGGTGTATTTACAGATGGGAAACATTTCAAACACAGCATTTCTGCCCCGGGAGCAAAGACAAGGGTTTTCCACCCAAAAGCAACAGTGGAAAACCATCCAGGAGCCCCGGCCCCGTCATGCTTGACGTGCCTTCTTGTTCTTCTTCTGCTCCTTGAGGGCTGCGTCGTGGGCTTTCCTCTTCTCAGCCAGTTTGTTGGCCTGGGGAGAGACGCCGAGACCCTCAGCCAGAGCAGGACAGGGCCTGCAGGCCCTCGGTCCCACCCAAGCTCCAGCTGCACGTGGAAGATGGACCCCACAGCACCGGGATCGGGGCTGGGGTACGGAGAGCCCTGAGGGGACACAGAGAGCTCTGCCTGCCCGGGGCAGCCTGGGGACACTGGCAGGGACCTCAGCACCTTCCCCAGGGACAGGGAGGAGCAGAAGGAACGTGGGGGTTTGGGAAGAGCCCGCCCCAGGATGCAGGTGAGGGGCCCAGCCTCCGTACCTCGCGGATTTTGCGCTTCTTCCCAAACATGATCTTCTTGTAGAGGTACTTCTCCCTCTTCTTCATCATCATGATGGCCAAGCGCTTCTCTTCGCTCTGCTGCTCCTGCTCCAGGCGCTGCTTGTCCTCCACCTGCACCTTGCCTGCTGTCACCTTCACAGGAAGCACCTGTGGGGAGCCAGGGAGGTCAGGATACCGGGAACCCACCCTCCTTCCACAGGGACAGGCATTTCCAGCCCTTTCACTGCGGCCTGGGAGAGGCACAGCTCTCACAGCCAGCCCCTGACAGGGCTGGCAGCTGCAGCTCACGAGTGTGGGGCCAGGAGCACTCCTGGAAGTGTTCTAGGTCAGGCTGGACAGGGCTTGGAGCAACCTGGGACAGCAGGAGGTGTCCCTGCCCATGGCAGAGGCTGGAAAGGCTTGGAGCAACCTGGGACAGCAGGAGGTGTCCCTGCCCATGGCAGAGGCTAGAACAAGATGAGCTTTAAGGCCCCTCCCAACCCCAACCATTCCATGACTTTGAGTATCCCAGTGGTCCCAGGGACACTCCTCAGCAGGGACAGGGGCACCACAGCTGCCTCCTTGGGCTCCCACCTTGTTGCTCTGTGTGCTCTGAGTCTTCTGCTCTTCCATCTTCTGCTCCTCCATCTTCTGTAATTTCATCTCCTCTTCTTTCTCAGACTCATCTTCCTCTTCCTCCTCTTCTTTGTCATTGTCACCTTCCTCCTCCTCATCTTCCTCCTCCTCCTCTTCACTCTCTTCCTCTACAAGGAGACACCGCCGTTACCCTTGGGATGCTCCGGAGCAGGCACAGCCCAGCTCCCAAGCTCCTCTGAGGGCTCCCAGCACCTGGATTCTCTCCCCTCTGCAGGGCCAGCAGCTTCAGCTTCTCTGGAGGGACGTAGTCACCCTCCTTCTCCGTCACGAAGGGCGAGAGGTGCGGGGGCAGCAGGACCCCGGGGAAGTAATCGGCCACGGGCAGGCACAGCTTGGCGTTGACCGAGTCAAAAACCCACTGGGGCTGCAGGTAGTACCTGGGCAGGGCAGAGGGTCCCACCTCAGGCTCTGGAGCCCGTGGCACAGCTCAGGGATGGCTGCTCTGGGGAGGGCCCCCTGCTGCACCCACCTGCCAACCACCTGCTTGTCCAGGCGCGGCCGGTCGATGATGTGGTGGGTGATGGACGGGTCGGAGGCGTCGTAGGTGGCACCGATGCACAGGGACTTGTCCCAGGACACCTGGCCACCAAAGCACCTGCAGGCAACGCCACCAGGGAGTCAGGCAGGCAGGCGGGACCTCAGGGGCACCCCACCCCAGGACATCGGGTGGGTTGGCCCCACAAGTCCTGCCAGAGGGGGAGGCCAGGGCAGCCGAGGGTCTCTGCCCACCACGCACCGGATGACGAAGGCCAGAGGCTCCCGGGGCACCTCCCTGTTGAGGAAGAAGCGCAGCCCCTCAAAGAGCTTCTTGTGCTTCTCCAGAGCCTCCTGCTCCTTCTTCTTGGCATCCATCAGCTCTGCTGTCTCCTGCTCAGAGCAAAGCCCTCAGCCTCCTCCCCACACACAGCCCTTGCCAAGGAGGGGTCTCAGGAGCTGTCCCCAAGCTGCCAGCCTGGGCATAGCACAGGATCCCCCAAGGCCAGGGATCAGCCCCCCACCAGCGTCTTACCCCCTCCACTGGGAATTCATCCATCTCCACCTCGTCCTCGTGGGTTGGAGCCACAGCCCGGGCCAGGCTGGCACTCAGAGCCGAGAGCCTCTGCAAGGAGAGGACACGGAATCACATCCAGGGGGTGGGAAAAGGAGCAGCCCAATGGGGGAAGGGGATTTATCAGAGTAAGAGGCTGGAAGAGCCATGGCCCGGACAGAATTCAGCCTCCTCCAGGCACTACCCCCAGCATGGGACACTGGGGGAACCCTGGCCATGCAGGGGGAGGCCGGTGGTGCCCGAGGCTGAGCCCAGCTCTGCCCTACAGGAACAGGGAGTTTGGGATCAGCCCCCTCCACCCTGCAGGGATCTGGCTCTGTCCTTCGGTGCCACGCCAGGAGGGCCATGGGCAGCACACGAAGGCCACCGTGTCCCCATGGGTCACAGTGCCAGCAGTGTCCCTCACCTCCAGGTAGCTCTCTGAATCCATGGCGTACTCCTTGCCCTCTGCAGGCTTCAGCTCATCCTCAGCCTGGCTGTCGATCTGGGAGGAAAAGGGGTGAGCTCCCAAAAACAGATATGCCAAAAACCTCTCATTTCCACCCTCCATCCCACCAATCCGGATGCCACCACCCCAGGGTGGGGCACAGTGACCCCGGGGGTGGCCTCACCTTGGGGGGGTACAGCAGGTTCAGGGACTGGTAGAGGCGGAAGTTGACGAAGCCCAGCAGGGTGGTGTAGAACTCGGTGAAGGTGGCCATGACCCGGTAATCCACGTCTGTGGGGTGCTGCCAGCACACGGCACGGGACACAGGATAAAGGACTCCCCTCCACAGGGCCCCAAAGGATCACCCAGCTCAGCGCTGGCCCTGTCCAGACCCCCCAACAACCCCACCCTGTCCATCCCTGGCAGTGCTGTCCAAAGGCTCCTGGAGCTCTGGCAGCCATTCCCTGGGGAGCCTGGGCAGTGCCAGCACCCTCTGGGGGAAGAACCTTTTCTTGAAAACCAACCTAAACATGCCCTAATCACAGAGATGTCCCAGCCACCACCAGACCCTGGGCAGGGAGAACTCTTCAGGCTTCCCCCAGGGTCCTGCTGCCACCCTCCATGCCTGGATACATGGAACATCTCATCCCATCATGGATGGGGATCTTGGGGTTTGGTCCAGGGACTCCAACTCAAGGTGAAAAGTGCAGGGTATGGCAGAGCTGAACAAGAGCAGGACAAGGGGAATGGCTTCCCATAGCCAGAGGGCAGGGATAGATGGGATCTCGGGAAGGAATTGTTCCCTGGGAGGGTGGGGAGGCCCTGGCACAGGGTGCCCAGAGCAGCTGTGGCTGCCCCTGGATCCCTGGCAGTGCCCAAGGCCAGGTTGGATGGGGCTTGGAGCCACCTGGTACAGTGGAAAGTGTCCCTGCCCAGGGGTGGAATGGGATGGGCTTTAAGTTCCCTTCCAACTGAAAACATTCCAGGGTTCTATGATTCAGAACCATAAAACCACAAAACCTGAACCCAACTGTGCTCAGTCCTGGAAATCCCGGGAGGGAATGCAGAGGGCCCTGCTGTGCCTGTGAGCTCCTGCCAAGGCTCAGGGGAAGCTGTCCCAGCACAGTGGGGACATCCCTGTGCCCTGCTGCCTGGGGGACACAGCAGAACCCCTGTGGGGAGGCTGCAGGATCTGACTCATCCCTTCCCTCTGCTCCACCAGCCTCGCTCCCACAGGTTAATCTTTAATGGCTGATAAAGGGACACGTTAATGATTGGGGACACCAGGAACTGGGGAGACTGGTACCGGCAGCCCTGGGGCATCCCCAGGTGACAGGAGGCTGTGTCCCCTGTGCCCCTGCAGCCAGGCCCTGGTCTGTGTCCCCTGTGCTCCTGCAGCCAGGCCCTGGTCTGTGTCCCCTGTGCAGCCAGGCCCTGGTCTGTGTCCCCTGTGCCACAGGACGCTCCCTCACCCCCTGGTGATCCCCAAGGATCCCGGGGTGATCCCCCAGGCTCTCCCCAGTACTCACGTCGTGGGCGAAGGCGTAGGGGGTGATCCAGGTGATGGGCTGCCCCAGCACCTCTGCCTGGTAGTAGATGCCCTTGATGGAGAGGAACACCTGGCGGGACAGAGCCAGGCTCAGCGGAGGGAGGCGGCTGTGTCCCCCTCCCTGGCAGGAGGATCCCGAGATCCCAGGGGGATCCGTGACCCCACAGGGCAGAGCCTGGGCAGGGGGAGCCCCCAGCAGCCCCTCACCTTGCGCAGGGAGCGCGAGGCAATGACGTAGTTCTGGAACTCCACGGCCAGGCGCCGGCACAGCTGGATGGTCTGCACGTGGCACTTGCCCGTGCGGGGGAAGGTGGAGAACAGGCAGCACATGGACAGGGCATCGTCCAGGTCCCGCAGGGCATCCACAAACGTGGGGTACCTGTGCCCGGGGGGACAGGGGGTCACAACCAGCCCCAGGGCCCTGCAGAGCTGCTGGGGCTGGGGGACACCCCGGTGAGACAGCAGTGGGAACTGGGGAGCATCCAGCTGCACATCCCAGCAGAGCCACACAGTGATGGAACATCCTGATCTAGAAATGGTTATGGGGTTTCCACAGGAATGGTTATGGGGTTTCCTCCCTCCCGTGTCCCCTCCTTGCCCATGAGCACCAAACTCACAGAGCCTTGGCAGCACTGACCCTTCATGAGCCCTCTGAGGAAAACACCCCACAGGGAGAGCCAGGGGAGTGCCCTGTGTGCTCCTGGAGCCACCCAGGATGGCTGGGCATTCCCTGCTCTCCCATTCCTTCTTCTCCAGCCCAATACACAAAATTCCACCAGTAACTCCAGAAAGTGCACATGAGGCACATTCCCAGAGATGGATGGATGTGGTGAAAGATCTGAGAATCCCAGGAATGGTTTGGGTTGGCAGAGACCTTAAAGCCCATCCAGTGCCACCCCTGCCATGGCAGGGACACCTCCCACCGTCCCAGGCTGCTCCAAGCCCCAGTGTCCAGCCTGGCCTGGGGCACTGCCAGGGATCCAGGGGCAGCCACAGCTGCTCTGGGCACCCTGTGCCAGGGCCTGCCCACCCTGCCAGGGAACAATTCCTAATTCCCAATATCCCATCCATCCCTGCCCTCTGGCAGTGGGAGCCATTCCCTGTGTGCTGTCCCTCCATCCCTTGTCCCCAGTCCCTCTCCAGCTCTCCTGGAGCTCCTTCAGGCCCTGCAAGGGGCTCTGAGCTCTCCCTGGAGCCTTCTCCTCTCCAGGTGAGCACCCCCAGCTCTCCAGCCTGGCTCCAGAGCAGAGGAGCTCCAGCCCTTGCAGCATCTCTGGTGCCTCCTCTGGACTCTCCAGCAGCTCCAGGTCCCTGCCGTGCTGCCCCAGGGCTGGATGCTGCAGGGGCTCAGCCAGGGCTGCCTCACCTCTCCTTGACGATGTGGTCGAGTTTGTAGGTGGGTTTGTTGTCCTTCAGCCTCTCCACAGTGCCCCACTCGCTCTTCCCGTAGGCCTTGCGCAGCTTCCTGACGAACACCTGGGGGCACAGGGGGCCGTGGGGGCACCGTGGCCCAGGGCAGCCCCCGGGGGGGCCCCTCGGGGGGCACACTCACCTTGTACTCCCGGAACTTGTTGACGATGGGCTCATGGAGCAGGAACTTGATGTCCTTGAGCAGGTAGAAGGTCCTGGGGGCGGTGGAGCCCTTGTTCACCTTCTTCTTGTGCTTGGGCTCATGGGGGTAAATCCCCTTGAGGATGCAGAGGCGCCTGGGGACAGGGACAGCGCTGGCACGGGGGGGGGGCACGGCTCCCCCGAGTCCCCTGGGACTGCCCAGCCCCTCCCTTGGAGGGGAACCCCGGATTGGGCAGCCTGGAACCCAGAACAGACCCCGAGGGAAAGGGACACCCAAGGGACACCCCTTGGGGACGAGTTCAGGGTGTCCCAGCCCCACAGCCAGCACAGAGCTGGGGGTCTGCTCCCCCTCTGCTCCCCCCGGAGGGCTGTGGGGTCCGGGGCGGCTCCGGGGCCATGGCGGGGATGGGGAGCGGGGGGTGCTGAGGCTGTCCCGGGGAGGCGTTTGGGGGTCCCGGGGCCGCCCCCGCACCCCCGCGGGCTCCATCGCCCATCGCTGCCCCGGGGGTCCCGGGGGTCCCGGGGGGTTCGCAGGAAGGGGGTTCGGGTCCCGCGGGGCGCGGCCGCACCTGAAGTCGGGCAGGCTCAGCTGCAGCTTCTTGCGCGCCCGGTTGCGGGTGATGTAGTTGGTGGCGGCTCCGCGCTCGTACTGGGGAGAGACGGCGGCGTCGGGGGCAGCCCGGGGAGGCGGCGGGGAGCCCCGCAACCGGCCCGGGGCCACCGGCAGCCCTGGGAGCGCAGCGGGAGGAGGGACGGGAGGCGCGGGATGGAGGGGCCGGAGGGGCAGCGGGCCCGGGCGGAGCGGGGGGCGCGGGGGGAAAGGGAGGAGCGGGCAGGCAGCGGCGGCGCGGGCCCGGTACCTTGCGCTGCTCCAGCCCGGCAGCACGGGCACCGGGAGCGGCACCGGGAGCGGCACCGGGAGCGGCACCGGGAGCGGCACCGGGAGCGGCACCGGGAGCGGCACCGGGAGCGGCGCGGGCACCGAGCGGGCCGGGGCAGGCGGCACCGGGGACTCAGTCAGGCGCGCCACGGGCAGCCCAGCGCCCTAGCAGGAGGGGTCCTGAGGCGCAGAGCGCACTGGGATATTGCGGTGCCGCGTGGGGCATGCCGGGATATAGCGAGGCAGGGACGGCGCGAAGCACGTCGGGATATACCGTGGCCTAGCAACGCTGGATATGCCGGGATGTACCGGGGTGGGGCTGCGCAGGGCATGCCGGGACACAATGAGACACTGGGGACATGGAGCACGCCGGGATATAGCGAGGCAGTGATGGCGCGGGGCACGCCGGGATATAGCGAGGCAGGGATGGCGCAGAGCACGCCGGGATATAGCGAGCCAGGGGTGGCGCGGGGCACGCCGGGATATAGCGAGGCAGGGATGGCGCGGAGCCCGCCGGGATATAGCGAGGCAGGGGTGGCGCGGGGCACGCCGGGATATAGCGAGGCTGGGATGGCGCGCGGCACGCCGGGATATAGCGAGGCAGGGATGGCGGGCCTGCCCGGGGTCGGTCGCACACCGGGATGGCGGCTGCCGGTCCGTGCCCGGAGCTGCGGGACCCGCTGCCCTCCTGTGGTCCCTGACGCCGCAGCACCGGCCGGGGGGCCCACAGTGGGGCGGGTGTTTGGAAACCCCCGGGCCCGGGGGTCTCGGTAGCAGGGGCTCCCCAGGCCCGGCCCCCGCGCTCGGGTGCCCCGGGCTGACGGGACAGGAGCCCAGCGGGGCCCGGGATCCCCTCCTGGGCTCGGGCATTCGCTTCTGCGGCTCAGCACCGCCCCTGCCCCCGGCGGGGGGAGTTCCACCTCCTGCGGCTCACACCGCTGGCTTTCGGGATGTTTTGGGGGGCTCGTGGCCCCTCCCCGCCTGTCCCGCGGCTCCCGGGCTGAGCAATCTCCGTTTTCTCAATTAAATCGAGCTTGGAGGCGAGCACGGCGATTCTCCTTTCCAGGGGGCGGGTTTGGCCGCGTTCCAGCCCTGTCTATTTTCGGGCTGTGGCCGCCGGCGTTGCCCCGAGCAGCGGCGCCTCGGGTCGGGCTGTCCCGGGCGGGCTGTCCCGGGCTGTCCCGGGCGGGCTGTCCCGGGCTGTCCCGGGCTGCCCCCGCTGCCCCCGCTGCCCCGGCCGCGCCTCAGCCCAAGCTGTGCGCGGGTTGTGCTGACTCGGCCCCGCGTGCGGAAGCGGCCTCTCGCCACACCTTCCGCGCTGTCCCCGCTGCCGGCCCGTCCTGTCGCTCCCGGCTGCCGGCGGGGCTGTGCCACCCCTGTCCCCTGTCCCCCGGCCATGGGGCTGCCGCTCGTGCTGCTGCTGCTGCTGCCCGCGCTGCTGCCCGCCCGCTGCTGCGGTGAGTGCGGCCCCGGCCCCCGAACCCGCCCGGCACCCGCGGGCCGGGGCTCGCCCTGAGCCGGGGAGGATGAGCCCCATCTGCAGCCCCATCTGCAGCCCCTCGGTGACACATTCTGCGGGGCTCGGCTCCCCCCGACCCAGCCCCTGCCGCCCCTTCCCCTGCCCGGAGCCAGCCCGTGCCCAGCCCCAGCTCGGGGCCCTGGGGACGGAGGTGTCACCGCAGCCCCCGCCACCCCTCGGGCCCTCTGTGCTCCTGATCCATGGCACATCTCCTTGTTTCTTCCTCTCTTTTTTGATGGGAAACCCGGAGGTTGTGGGATTTGGGGGGGACGCGGAGGGTGTGGGGTGCGTGGCTGGGTGGGTGCCGGGGTCCCTCCCGGCACGGCTTTGGGGGGGCTGTGGAGCCGCAGGGCCGTGCCGGGGGGTCCCGGCCCTCTCGGGGCCCCTGACCTGCGCTGCCTCTCCCGGGCCGGGCAGAGCCCCCCGCGGGCTCGGCGGGCGCCGTGCGGGCGCTGGGTGCGCGGCTGCTGGGGCTGGCAGGGGACCCCGCGCGGGACCCCGACCCCGCCGTGTACCTGGCCCTGCGCCTGGCCCGCGAGCACGACCCGCGGCTGGAGCGGCGCTACCTGGAGCGGCTGCAGGACACCTTCCAGCACCCCTACGGCAGGTGGGTGCCCGGGGTCCCCACGGGCCTTTGGGGCTGCCCCTGTCCCCCGTGCTGACACCCTGTCCCCGCAGGAGCCTGCAGGGCCACGGCCACTCCCGGTGGGACGCTGAGCACAGCACGTACGTGTGGGTGTCCCGGGGTCACCTGGGGGCAGGTGACAGCTCGGGCGGTGTCCTGGGAGGTGACCGGTGCCTTGCAGGAGCAGGGAGGAGCCCCCGCACACGGGGCGGCTGGCGCTGTACCTGCTGGGGCTGCAGGCCACCTGTCCCCCGCTCAGTCCCCACCGCGCGCTGGTGACGTGGCTCAAGTACTACCTGGAGGAGGACTGGACAGGTGAGAGTGTCCCTGCGGGGTGAGTGCCCACCTGGCACCTACACGTCCAGCTGTGAGGCACCGGCTGACCCTGGTGACACCGCACGTTGTCCCCAGGCTCCCGGCGGCAAGGCCACCCCGTCACCAGTTACTACCAGTACGGGCTGGGCGTGCTGGCGCTGTGCGTGCACCGCAAGCGGGTGCGGGAGGAGGTGGTCCGGCGGCTCCTCACGGCCCAGCACCACGGAAGGCTCGGGCACGGTGGCAACACCGTGGGTAAGGGCCCGTGGGCACAGGCGGTGCCACCGCGGCGGGTGTGTGGCTCCGGGGTGACACCGGGGTGTCCCTGCAGACACCGAGGCTGTGGTGGCACTGGCCTTCACCTGCCTGGAGCAGAGGAGGTTGGTGGGGACCGGGCTGGCGGCCAAGCTCCGGGTGGCCGCACACGAGGCCAGCAGGAACATGGCCAAGGCCCAGGGCCCCGACGGCATCATCGGCAACATCTACAGCACGCCGTGGGCGCTGCAGGTGGGTGCCACCCGAGGGGACAGCTGGGCTGGGAATGGGCAGGGGGGGAAGTGGGTCTGCAGATGTGGGGTGCAGAATTTGGTGCAGATGTGGGGTGTAGATGTGGGTGCAGAATTTGGTGCCCAGGCAGAGGCAGCTGCCCTGGGGCAGGTGATGCTCAGCAGTGCAGTTACCAGGTACCCAATTCTCCTCCCTCTTCCCACCACCTCCACCCCTCCCTGTCCCAGGTGTTCCTGGCCACGGGTGAGTGCCAGACGGAGCCGGCGTTCGGGCAGGCCATGGCTGCCCTGCTGGAGAACCTGGAAGCCTTCGGCACCGCCGCCACCATGGCCCAGGTGCTGCCGGTGCTGCACGGCCGCTCCTACCTGGACATCGCCTCCCAGCCCTGCGGGGAGGAGCCAGGTGGGAGCCGGGGGAACGGGACTGGGCTCAGCGCTGGTGTCACCACAGGGGCGGCTGGGTGTCACCAGTGCCGTGGTGGCTTCTGGCAGACACGCTGACACCCCTGGACATGGAGCCCCTGGCCGAGGTGCCGGGGAACAAGACGGTGGAGCTGGTGGTGGAGTGTCCCCTGCCCTGGTGCTACGAGCTCCGGCTCTATGACCGCGTGGTGCCCGTGCCTGCCTCTGCCTCCCTGCTGGACGTGCTCCAGGCGGCTGCGGCGCGGGATCCCCGTGACTTCAGGTGTGTGGGGTCACGCTGTGTCACAGGCCGTGTGTCCTGCACCTGTGCCCTGTGCCGGGCTCACTCTGGCTCCCAGCTGCCCTTGGAGCAGCTCTGTACCCCCCAGCAGCGCCGAGGCCGCACCCTCGCCCCCCTGACCCCGCTGTCCCACCGCCAGGTTCCACACCCAGGACACCCCCCAGGGACCCTTCCTGACCCAGGTGCTGGGGCTGGAGGCCCGGCAGGAGAAGCGGAACTACTGGCAGATCCTGACTGCGCCCAACACCCCCCTGCAGATGGGTGAGTGCTGGGTGGGGGTCCCTGGGGAGCTGGCAGGGGTCCCCCCAGCCCCGTGGCTGCTGTCTCACCCCACACTGCACCTCTCCCCACAGGTATCGCTGACTACAGACCCCAGGATGGGGAGACCCTCATCCTGCGCCTCAGTGAGTGGTAGAGGGTGGGGGGTGATGGCAATGAAACCCCCACTGTGGGCACAGGACCTGCCGGCTCCCTGCCTCCTCCTTTCCGTGGGCAAGCACCCCAAATCTGCCAGGGCAGGGGGAGGGTGGGAAAGGAATGCATTGGGAAAGGACACGATGCCCTGTGTCCTACAGGTGCAGGGGGACAGGAGCACCAAAACCAGCAGCTCCTGCAGTCCTGGTCTCACCCGGGAATGGGGCAGGCAGCCGCTGGGGGCAGCCGTTTTTGGGGTCTCCAAAGCATTTTTGGGACGGCCAAAAATTTGGGGAGTCCGAGTCAGCGCTGTTCGTCCTCAGCAAGCTGGATCCTCCTCCTCTGTAACCCCCTGGGGGTACTGAGCCCCCAGTGTCGCGGGGCCCGCGGTGCCGAGGGGCACCCCCAGGCGTGCCCAAACCGCGCGGTTCCCCCGCGGTTTAATCCAGCCCCCAAAACCCCCGGGGCAGCGGCGGGTCGGGGGCGATGGCGCCGGGGCCGGGGGGGGCTTGGAGGCGGCGCCGCTGCCAGCGCGGAGCCCCCGCGGGGAGCCCAGGGCCGGGGAGCCCAGGGCCGGGGAGCCCAGGGCCGGGGAGCCCGGCTGCCCCGGGGCCGTGCCCGCCGTGCCCCGCCCGCCCGGCAGTGACGCGCTGGCCTCGCCGGGCGGAGCCTCCGCCCTCCGCTCCCGCCATCACCAAACTTTCCGCCGGCCCCGGCCGCCGCCTCCCGGCACATGGCACCGCCGGCCCGGCGCTGAGCCCCGCCAGCACCCCCGGCCGGGGCGACGCCACCGCGGGCAGCGGGGACAGCGCGGCCGCCACCGCGGGGA